ATAAAGGCAGAAGGAGCTTTGCATATGAACATGGGTTAAATCTGTGTGTAACCCTCATCGATACATGAAAACCAGTCTTTAGGGATGTATGTTGGATGGATGTGGGTGGATTATGTTCCTGAATTGTTATGTTTAAGGGTAGTAACTTGTTCTAAAGTATGTGTATGGGCTTTTGTATACCTGTATGCTGTTCCAACTTGCAGGCTAGAAACTGACTTGGGTACAGAAATAATGTGGTGTAGAAGGCAACCTGTTAAGTCAAGGCTAAATCCTAGTGAAGCAGGTTACCCTTGAGTTGCAGCTTTCTCCAAGTGATATCACCACGTGATAATGTCACCTCTATGAGGGTTCTGGTTTGGAAAAACTTCCTATCTCATCCCCCAGTCAACAGTAGGCCATCTATAGATTGGTGCAGCGAATTACTATCACTATCTTCAGAAGCTAGTTGTGTTCACAGGGTTGTTGTCCCCATTGTGTGACTGCTTCTGTGTAATGAAAATAAGCTTCTTAACTAGATTTGCTTATCTTTTCTAAGCACAATTTAAAACTTAAACTTGTTGGCATCTCAGTGCTTGTTGACTGAAAGTTTTTTTTGACCCCCAGGAGGGGAGAGATGTGTATTTGTGGATAAGAGCATTCCTATTCAGAATTTCTCCATCTAAAGAGAAAATGAGTATGTGCTATGAAATACTGATGAAAATCTGCTGATAATAGAGCTTGGTTTGATTGAACTTGTAGTTGCTGAACATCTGCTTTAAATTGCACTCTAATTATTGGATAGTTGTGTAGGTTGTAAGTTTATTTGACTATTTTTGTCATATTTTTCTTTAGTCATCTCTTACTCTTCTCCTTCATCAACTTCAAAGATTCTGGAGAACTTTTCTGAATTTTCTTGGACAGACAGGGAAATTAGTGCCATAAAAGAAACCAGCAAAGCTCTGTTTGTAGAAAGTAATTTGTATTTTTCTATTCTGTTCAGCTTTAGTATTAATACTGCGAAGAGATGTTTACGATGTGAAGAACTTCACATTTTCTTTCTACTATACATATGTTCAGAAAACTACTTCTGTTCTTTCTCTGTCTCCCCTCCCTTGTTTGCATCTCCTTATCACCTTCTTTCTCTTTATAGCTTGGGTGAAGCTCACTTCACAAGTGTGACTAGTCAATGCAGGCTAAACTGGGAAGCTTTGCTAGGTACCAGTGTGTTCGGTACTAAATCCTTTCCTTCTTTTTTGACTACTATAACTTAGGCAAAACATCTTTAGTTTTTTGTACACTGGGACAAGTGAATAACAGTTCATGTGCAATAGCTGCGTGTCTTCAACCTCCATCCTTTAATTCCTGTTCTCAACCTGTTTGTTTCTCTATCTTTTACTTCTCTTCTTTTTTTTTTTTTTTTTTTTTAATTGCGCCAGCTTCCCTCTTTCTTGAAAGGTGAAACAACATTCTGGGAAGTTCCCAGTGAAGTTTGTCCAAACCAGTAAACTACTCGGCCTTTAAGAGAAACTTGTCTTGAAGTGGAGATGTTCATGTGCAATTTTTTTTTAGTCCATCAGCAGTAATGGGTTGCTTAACTACATGTTGTGGTTCTCACCCCTGACTTTATCTTGCACCCTGGGCCGAAATAACTTGAGTTCTTTTCCAAAAGCTGCCTGCTACCTTATGTTAACTTTTTATTTTGTAGTGACTTGTACCTGTTTACTGCCTGGCAAATAGAGGTAAATGTTGGGGACTAACCTGCCTGTTGTGTGGGAAGCTTCAAGAACACTGGGCAGAAGAAAGCGGGAATTGCCATGTTGTGCCCAAATAAGTTGCTGTTCCCTTGCTCTTTTGAACTCAGTCTGAGTTGAGAAGTTGATTGTTCTGTAACCCTGGTGTTCAGCAGAGCAGGGGGAAATGAATGCCCAGTGGAGCAGCGTGTGGTGTGGAGGCTCAGACACTCAGCAGATACCATAGGAAAATTTCTTTCCCTGCCCACAACTGCTGATGTATAACTGCACAGGGTAATATAATGGGACTTTTTCTGCTTCTAGAAAACTCAAAAGACGAAGTTTCCAAGGTGACGCTTCTGAGATTTCTCCAAGTGTCAGCAGTCCGTGAGTCCATTCTTCAGTTGTGAGCTTCTGCATTGTCCATTTGGAAAGCTGCTGTTGGCTTTCAAGGAGCCGGTGCTGTACTAGAGAAAAACATGCGCATATACATGAACAGTACATTTATATCTATGGGTCTGGCTTGTACAAAGAGAAAACACTTCTGAACTGGCTCAGGAAAGTGTTTTCGTTGTTGATATATATTGGTTTTCCACAAAATTGAACAGTTCTAGCACAGCTCATCTGACAAGAATTGCTTCTCCTCCAGTACAAGACCACTAGAGCTCAAAGAACCTACCTGTTCTTCAGCGGGAGGAGCTACTGATCCATTTGCCACAACTTCCAGCCTGTCCCTTTAGCAGTTAATAGCTTATATATTTGCTGTCTTGTGAGAGAAAAGGAGCGGTCCTGTGTAATGTACCCTTCTTAAGTGTTTGGCTGTGAGGAATCTAAGGACACAATTACTTCAGCTCAGACTTTTCATTTAACTTCTGTTTGGTTTCTTTTATGTGCTGTAAAAACTTGTCTTACTGTCTTCGAAAGTGGCCAGATGCCTCTTTTGGTCTGAATCCTGGGTTCTGGACAGCCACAGTCTGCAGGAAACACAAATTTCAGAATGAATTTTCAGCACTGAGAATATATGCAGAACATATACATATATGTGGAATAATGTGTAACTTTTGTAGTCAGGTCACCATGCTTCTTGGAGGCTTAAAATGACTGGCAAACATCTAGGCCGTGAATAGTGTGGGAAAATACAGTTGTAAGGCTGTCTTTTTTAGCTACTATGTGAATACTAAGTATGATACCTTACTGTCTGTCATAATTTCCCTTTAAAGGAGATGAGGAGTTTAAGGCTGACTGTACAGTCTTCTCATTTTTCTCAGGACGAATTGGATTTGCTCTTGCATTTGAGGATCATGAAGATAGCTTTGTATATAAAAAGAAGTTGCACAACAGAGCTGAAGCCTAAAAACAGTAGCTCCAGCTTGAAAAGTACTTGTGCAACAAACAGACCGCTATTTCTCCCAAATACAATATACACTGTGTTCTCAAACCTTGCTTTGAGAGTGAAGGAAAATGAGGTTTTAATGCTTTTTGTTGAGGACTCTGTTAGAGCAAAGTTCTGTGAGTCTGGATTCCTTCCCTGTCTGTCACCTCTGTGAACTTGGTAGAATGAATCAGTAGGTCATGGTCCTGCTCTGCAATCCTGCTGGCAGCATGGTCTTGTGCTTCACTAGAGAAAATAAGAATCTGGCAGCAAGTCCGCTCTGTATAAGCTTTCACAGTATAATACTTGCTTTATAGAAGGAATTTTGATTGCTGTGGAGGAGGGGCAGAGGAGTTTGGGGAGAAGTGCAACTTCTTCCATGTGGAATGTCTGCATCGTTCTTTTTCTATGGTATGAGACTTGGTTTGTTCTGTTACAGTGCAAAACCAAACTCCGGGTGCTTTAGACATTAAGTCAACAACTGTAATGCTCTCTGATAAATGAATGGTGAATAAGGTATGTATAGGAGCAAAGTCAACTCTTTAGTGTTTTGCAAAGCATGATTTAGTAATATCTGCTGGGCTACGTTTCCTGTTGAGGTCATTGTTTGTTTTGGTGTTCCTGCCATGGAAACCCATGATACTAGAGGTTTTTTTGCTGTTCCTTAGTATAGTAAGATCAAGGAAATGCAATTTTATAGATGGGTGAGTTTTGCCTGCAAGGAGAAGTATAAAAACAGGTGTGGAGATATGAGAGGAACTACTTCAGTTTTGTTAACAAGGAAACTGAGTGACTGCTTCCTGCATAGGTTGTGGTGGGATTATTTTCTTCCCCGTCATACTTTTTTTTTAAAAAAAAATGATTTGTTTTCTGAAACGTCTATCTGAATGCACACCCCGAGTTACTTTTTTCTGACGTGCCTGGATATCAGCTTGGCAAAGACAGCAAGGCTAAATCAAACTACTTCTGACTTTTTTTTTTTCCTGTGGCAAAAGAATTCCCCAGGTGAATGACTGTAAAATGTCATGAAATCCCTGAATAGCAAGCAAAGAAACTCTTTGAATGCAGGACTGCTTGACTTCTAAGATCAGGTGAAACTATTATTTGGTATGGTATAATTAGAAGCCAAGTATTAAACAGTGAGATGGAAAAATAAGTTACGATATTCTGTCATTAAAGGCACAAAGATCTGTTTCTGCAAGTGTTCCTGGAAAAAAAATAATGTTTTTCCTTTTCTTCAAGTAAAATAATAATAATTACGGTGGGTAGCAACTGTGAGTGAAACTTTATTGGTAAAAAAATGCGTTCCTGCTTAGGAACACAAATACAAAGTTTACAGATGTAATGGGGTGATTTAAATATATATTGTGCTGTATCTAAAAATTATGTTCGATGATCTTTTAGATAGATATACATGTTTGGTTTATATATATTTGTATGGGGGGGTGTGTGTACATATATATTTTACGTAGGGTGTATATGAAAAAACCCACAACCCTAATATATACTTTCTGCTAAGATGCAGGGTTGGTGAGATTTTTCTAGGTGCTGGAGACCTGCAGGAAGAGTAGGGCTGTGAAGATGAAAGCCTGTCACTCCTGTTACCTAGTCTTAGACTTGGTCCGGTGAGTAGGTCGAGGGAGTAAGGAGGCTTCTGTCATGGGAATTCCAGATTACACCAGATGTAATTGCACTCTGGTGCTGCTGTATGTGTGTTTCTGGCCTTTTGTTTTTTAAAGTCTGCCTGACCCTTCCTTTGTGCAGTGTTTTCAGCCTGAGGCTGTCTAGCTGCAGCTTCTAAAGCACTGGCCGCACTTTCCTCCAGGGCTAGAGATCCCAGGGAGTATGTAGATTTCCAAGTCTGCTTCTGAAAACCTATATTAGAAGATGCAACTGGGCAAGAGCACCAATGTCAAAACAAAATACGCCAAGTATTGTGAAAATGGCTCTGCAGCACTGGGTGATGGATAGTGCTGTATTGGAGGTTTATAGACAGTGTTACAGTGCGTGTCAGCTGTGTTCAAACTTAGCATAATACTGGGCTTGGTGAATAAACACTGCTTGTTTTCTGTCTAGCTGAGGTATCTTTAATAGCTGCTAGTCTTTTGACAGTAGACTGTGTAGCAGTGTCTTAAATATTTATATTCTGACCTGTATGATATTTAAGTGAAGAGATCACAATAAAATAAATTCTTAGTACTTGTGTACTATCATAGACTGCGGCAGCTCCTTGATTTATTCTTCTGCCCGTCCTGCCCAGATCATCTTTCAAATATTTTTCTCGGATGCAACCACTTTTTGGCATCCTTCTTTCTGTGCAAATGGACTTCCTTATCCAAGCTTCTACATCTTAATTCCAGTCAACTTTTCCCTAAATCAAAATGCATATTTAAAAAAAGCTAGACAGACTTGCCATCAATTTTAATAGACATGTTAATAATAACAAATATAGAGTGGTTTGTGGGATACTGCTCTTCGCTGCCAACAAAACTTTTTTCTCTGACACTGTCTGTAGAAGTCTTAAGAGGTTGTCCAGATATAAACATGTCTCTTTTTTTTTTTTTCATTCTGGAATAATAAGAAATAACATAGCTCTCCTGTTTCTAATGTTTAAATGCTGTAACCTCTTTTAATTTCCAGTTTGTTTTGTTTCCCTACTAGAGAAGACTTCTCTTGGTACAGAGTACAGTGATATACTACCAGGTCTCAGCAATAAAGCATGGACAGCACATGAGATTTCTCGTGTGTCTCATTCTCATGGTCTCTTTTTTTTTGCATAATTTGCTTTACCTTTGCTGCTTTGGAAGTTCCTGAGGTAGTACATTAGGATATGCTAGAAATCTGATCTGTTCTGTCGTGCTATACAGGTGTGTTTTTCCTCAAGCTTGTATTGGAAATGGGAAATAATATCACTTGATGTGGCCCCTCAAACATCCAAATGGATCAGCAGTTAGGTAATCTTCAAACCAGAAGATTCCTGGGAATTTTATGTTAAATCAAGAATACCTTTAGTTTGGATCTCTTCACTTCTGCCCTTGGAGCACTCATGGGCATAGAAGAAAGATCTGCAAAAAGACAGATTTAAGTCTATTCTGGGGCTCACTGTTAGTTATCGCAGTCCAGTAATGACAACTTTCTCACTGTATAGCCACAACCTTTCAAATTCTGGAGAGGTCTCAAATAGTGGAAGGACTTCCCATCTTCCGCAGAGGCTAAATACGGGTACTGTGTCTTACTGTCTGTGGCAAGGTGAAAGATTAATACACCTCACCTGTCTGGTGGTAGAAGAGTCCCCTCAGGATGAGGAAGGAAAAGCAGCCAAGATCCAAGTTACCTCTTCTGGTCTTTTGGTGAGACTGAGGAGGTAGAAGAAATCTTGGGGGAGTGAGGCCTAGAAATGCCAGGTGGAGCTTCTGCATTTTGTTAGGAGGTTCCTCTTTTAACTTCTTACTGCTGCACCCCAGGGGCTCCTTTGTGAACAGGCAGGAAGGTCAGAGGAACTAGCTTTATTTGAGGGCTGTATTTGTGCTGGGTGTGATCACTGTTAAATGGTAACTATAAAAATAATTAAAGACTTCCAGAGGAACTCTGTCAGGACACTCTTTGTATTGTTTGTGCTCCCCTGCTTAGGGCAGGGAATAGAAAAGGCAGAATTGGACTCTAGTCATTGTACAGTGATAATATTGAGAGACAGTGGGTAGAAGCTGCAATGTGAGAAATTCTGATTAAACATATAGATTTTCTTTCCTGGGTGTGGTCCAACATTGTAATAGGCTGTTAAACCTTCATCTGGACAAGGCCCTGGGCAAATACGATTTCATTGCACCTGCACCACTCGCCCAGTGGGCAATTGGGTGACCTCCATAGAGCCCTTTCAACTTAAAATAATCTATGCTTATTAAAAGCAAGTATAGGCAAGCTTTAAAAAACTACTGCTGTGGCTTATGTTTGAATTAATCTAAGATTTCATAGGGCTTATCTTTAGTTTTTCCTGTAACTGTAAAAAATAATCTTGAGTTCTGTGACATTACACTTTTTTTTAACTATTAAAAGCTAATCCTCCATCCATCAATATTTTTTTTTTGCCAGAACTGTGAGCTGTGGCACAGTTCGTTCCACACAGGAACAAATTTGTTAAACTTAGCCATATTTTACCACATAAGATAAACCATAGCTGACAAAATATAATTGCATTTGTGTCAGCCTGCAGACTAAACTGGCCGTCTACCTCTACATGCATAATCTGTTTGCATCCATGATTTATTTTTTTTCATAGCATCCCATGTGGGGAGATGTTCTGTTGTCTGATGGTCTCTGAAATCTGCTTTACAGGAGTACAAATTCTGAAATTGGTATTCTAAAATTAGAATGGAGCAGGTCTTCAACATTTACTGGTGGGTTTAAGTTAATAGGAGGGAGAAACAGTATTTGTTGGACTTCCATTCTCAGTCATGTTCAATAAATTTAACAATAAACCCTTGTGATAAGCGAGACTTAAACTATTTCATAGCAACTGCTCTGTTCTCTTGCACATCTGAACAGACTATTAGACACTTGAATAGGACCATCTGGCTTTTTAAGATGACAGTAAACTCTTACATAGGGCTTCTTAATGTAAAGACAGCCAACTTTTGATACTGGATTCCAGTCTGGGCTGAAACGGGGCAGTCTCGCTAATTCTCACTTAGCTGTAACCATTCAAAATTCTTTGCCCTTAAGACTATTAATCTTGAAAGCAGCATGCAATGGATGATCTCAATCACATTTATATCGTCCTCTGTACTCAGACTTTAAATCTGTATTGGTTGTGTTAGTAATACCAGATGGTTTTGGATAGCCTTTGCTGTAAAATGAAAATTAACAGCAGTAGACAGGCAGGAACCTTCTTCTGGCAGTGTTTCAGCTGACCTATCTGTGCCATTTCTCCCATAACTCCATTTATGGGGAAAATGGACTCCCTTCTTTTCTCAGGCGTGTACTTCTGCTCCAGTGTGTGCTCAGCCTGCTCTGCATCTCTGGTTGCTCCAGCACTGAGCTGGCCATGTTCTTCAGAAGGCATGGGGAATAGCCATAGGCAGCAGCAATGAAGCACACTGCAGCTTTAGGCTCCGAATTTCCCAAATGACAGCGGAATCAGCTGCTGAAGAGGAAACAGTCACTTGTGAGGCTGATGCCTCCTTAGCACTGGAGGAGGTCCTGTTACAGGACTCTGGGGGAATATCTGGTATGCACTGACTTAGTCAAACTCAAAAGCACTGTGTGCTTTTATTATTTTATATCTTTATTTTTGGCAAGCAGCCACATAATTTCTCTGTCAGAACAAAGGCAGAGGCTGTGCATGCATCTGGAATCACATCTAATTTGGTTCTCTGTGTGCCCCTTAGTTTCAAGTTAACCCTTTTCCATAAGATGACCAGACATCCCATATGGAAAGGTCATCCTCTTTCAGTTTTGCAGGGAACTGAGAAATATATCTCAAAACAAGTCTATTTTGTTTGCTAATTCACTTTATTTGTCTCAAGCTGCATAAACATTTAATTGGTAATGTGCGCTCTCTTACTGGGGAGGGAATATGGAATCTTGTATCTCTGAAGAAATCTGCTCTGAGACTGCTGCTTGTGAAGATGCAAGTAGGCTGGCTGGTTGTTGTCCACTTAGTCTGGAAAGGGAGTATGTTTTGGGCGGAGCATTTAGACAGCACATATTTCTTAATTTGTTTCTCGAGAGTTATTTTTACCTTAAATGTCAGGAGGCTTGGAAACAATATCTTAAATTGAAAAAAAACATTTTCTTACTTGTATTTCAGATTCTGGTTTGGGAGTTCTTGAAATGTTAAGGCTATCTCTTGGTGTACTACACTGTAGTGCTCTGTATACAAGTGATCCTAGGTTTCTAAGCCTTCTAATAAAATTATCATTCCCCTTCCCCCCCTTCTTAAAGGAGGGGAGAGCCCAAGCATGAAGAAGTAATGCCAGTTTGTAGCTGAAGTAGCAGCAAGAAAGAATGGGTTAATGTTGGCTTTGCTTTTTATTTTTCTGGTGAGGGAGGGTTGGGGTTTTTTTGTTTGGTTGTTTTTTTTAGGGCCGTGCAAGCACATTTTAAGTTTAACAGGTTTTTAGGCAAGATGATTTTAAAAACCAACCAGAAAAACCCCAAACACAGAACAACCCATCCTGAAAAAAAAGCAATTGTTTTGTGTTGTTTTAGCTTCCTCTTCCTCTTTAGAGAACATCCTGGCCAACATTATTTTCTTCATGTGTGACTTGACAAGAGTGATCAGTTTTCTGATGCTCAGTTTTCTGATGTGTGGTGTGTGTGCCTCAGGTACAGTGTGTGTATGGCAGGGCTCTGGATTCCAGATAAGAAGACCCCTGTAAGCACCCATCTTCAGTGGAGATGAACTTTTATTAACTCGTTAGCTTTATTTATCCAACATAGGCAAAAACTGTAGTTGATGAAAGAGAACTTAATCTTTAAAGTTCTGTTTATTTTAGATGTCTACTGGTCTGGCTTCAGGTTAGCGCCTATAGTATGTGAACTTCTTGAGCCCTTAGGCTGATAAAGATGTCACCATGATCACAGCAGCCTTGTATTTCTTCTTCCACATAAGAAGGGAAGAAATAATTTCATGTCCATCTGGTATTCCTATAGTTGCAAGCAGTAGCTTAATAGCTGCCAAAGTATCTGTTCTCCCTAAATAAACCATAATCTGCAGGAAAGTTTTGGAATTTCCTCAGGGAAGTCTAATGACTGTGGAGGCAGTGATCCTTAAAACTATAAAATAACTGAAAACATGGTTTTCTCTGAATCTCATCATGTGTTCTGTGTTGAGCAACTGATTTGTGACTAATCTGGTCCTTCATTTTGGACAGAAACAAATTGAAAGTTGAGCTGTTTATATCCTTGTATGTACAATAGTATTATGACTTCTCAGAGTAAATTGCAAACTTAGTAATAATAAAACTGTGTCACCACATCTAATTAACCCTGGCATTGTATTATTGTTGCCAGAATTAAGATTGTCAGCTCTAGCTCACTTTCCATTCATAGTAAAAGCCAAACTGCAGGTGAGCTGTGTCCTTCGCGATGACTGTCCCTCCCACTGCATCTACCCAACGGTGCAGCCAATGGTGGCCACAGTTCCATGGTCCGTCTTCCATCTCGTTTAAGAGCAACGTTCCTGAAAGGTTTAAAGAGTTGGAGTGAGGCGTTTTAAATTTACTGTGTTATTTGAATGCCTAAGTCAATAGTGCTTGGTGTCTATTTTTCACCTCAAGCTTCCAGTGGCTGTTGTTATTTGGGTAAATTTCCTGATGTATTGATATATTGTGTGAATACCTGGCCTTTGCTCTGTGCTGGTTTTCTATATTTTCTCATATTTCCTCTGCATTATGAATTGGTCACCTCTCTTTCTAATCTTTGCAGTGAAACCCTTTATGGTCATTGCTTTTGCTAACTAACTGTGCTGTTTGTCTTTCTCCTTGGAAAGTAAGCTGGTATTAGTCTAGCTGAAACATAATTGTAAATGGTACATTCTGCTCTCAGTTACTATCAGAGTAGTCTCAAATATACTTGAGAATATTAGACTAATCACTTAAGTGATTTATTTATTCCCATCAGATGCCCAGGTTAGTGTAAATAAATGTGGGATCTGTTTATTTCTTGATCTGTATTTTGCCAAGTCGTATACTGCATATCACTTTGTCCTGACAGCTGGATTAAATGTCTTTTGACTTGAGGTCTTATGGCCTCGCTTGCTGTGGTTTCACAGCCGCAGACCTAAGGAAGGGCTGCAAAGAATCTGCTTCTTCCCTTGTGTGAAGCTTGCAGAGCAAGCTGGGCTGGGGAGACAAGTCACCAGAAAAATACTTGGGTTTGGCCACAAATAACTTTCTGGCTGCTAGCTCAACCCTATGAACAGTGTGAACACTGTTGCTTATGTAGGTACAATAGAAAGGTAAATGGACCCCAAAATACTGTCCTGATGTCAGCTTAGCCAAATGGTTAATCTTTTGCTTTAGTTGTGGATTGCACATTATGAAGGCAGCAGTAAGATCATTTATGCAGCATATTTCTTGAAGCTAACTGTAGTCATCTTGCTTTGTACACAGATGGGCTTGGGCCATGAGCAAGGATTTGGTGCCCCCTGCTTAAAATGCAAGGACAAGTGTGAAGGCTTTGAGCTTCATTTCTGGAGGTAAGTGACAGCGGATGTCTCTAAGCTGTGACTCGCACTGCAGATCTTGGCACAGTTATGCAAATGTATAAGTAGCTGCTTTTGTCCTCTCTTTCAATTAGACTATTCAGGTGCTTCAAAGAAGCTGTGTCTAGGTTCAGGGCCAGGGCTTCCCAGCTGCATTGCAACAGTGTTTAAGTATGTAATCGCTTATGAGCATAGATTTCATCTGCACTGAAGTCAATGGCAGTACTTCTGTTGAAGAATTTGCTTTAGCTTAATAAACAGTTGAAGTAGGTTTGTGGAAAACATCTCTATCCCTACAATGAGGGACGTGACAGGGAAGAAGTGTACCTTATCTCAGTAATAAAGTGCTTTCTCAGCTCCTTTGCTTTTGACCTGAAATTTTAGGTAAAATTATGTTATCTGTGTTGAAAAGATGTTGAAACTTTGTATAAATCTACAAATGACTTGGAGGGGTAAGAGGTGTCGTAATTCAAATACATTAGATGGTACTTGATGTTGGATGATGTGCTGTTCCTAAACCAGTAAGAGGTCATGACAGCAGCAGTAAATAGTCTATGCCATTACTTCTGGAGAAACTCTGTGCTCCATTAAAATCTTTCTTGTTTTCCTGAAACAAGATGTGTATATGTATACTAATGTATGTAGCTAGCTAGTTGAGTTTACTAGTTATACTGGGGTGTGCTTTAAGATGTAACTTAGAGATTCTGTTTTTTTTAAAAAAAAAAATCCCTCTCAAAGGGAAGAGTCTGGAAAGGACATAAATATAAGTAATTGTCAGTAGCACTAGCACACACTAGCAATGAAAATTATTACATTTCACCAGTGCTATTTAGTGACAGTCATAGCTGTACCTGCAGTAGGGTTTTATTTTGTGGGTTTTTAAGGTAGTCTTTATATCCTAGCCATAGTGGCATCAGGTGCAGATGAGGCATAGAAGACTTTACATCTTTGTAAAGATGTAAAGTATTTGACTGCAGCTGAGACTCAGTTTAGAAAATAACCAAACAGACTACAGCAAAAATTTGCTTTAAGTTGATGAGGATATAGCTTCTTGTTTATGTAACTGTAATATGTAGCTATAGAAATAACTTACAAATAATGACATGGAGCAAGAAGTGGTAATAGTCTAATAAATAAATGTATCATCTACAGATGACCACTTTTAACTTATGGAAAAACTTTTTCAGTATGCACTCAGTCACTGAGGGGACTTGTGTAGAGGTACTGGTAAAATGGAACACAGTTCATGTGTGTAGGTAATTCAATAAAACAGAATTTAAAAAATGGCAGGAGTAAACAGTGTTTTTATCTGTGGTCAGATGAGAAATTATGTCACTTCCTACTTGAGATAAAGCTCTTTGTTCGTAGTCGGTGTGTTAGATGGGGAAATCACAAGTGGAGGAGGGGGAAAAAAAAGAAAAGTTAGTCCAGTTAACTTTTTCTCAACTCTTAATTTTTTGTCTTTTTTTCTTAGTTCCCATTGCTCGACCTTGTAATTCCTAATTTATTCTTTAACAGGGAAGAATTTGGGATAAAAAGAAATAAAATGTCTAAAGCAATATAGTCACATAATATCATGATTACCAAGTTAGAATGTGTCTGCTTCTGTGTGTATTTGGAGGCTTTTGTGTGTGTTCTTTATGAACATTTCACTATGCTCCTGTGGTTAGGGTTCGTTGTGTTGGGTCCTGACTACATAGCTCATCAGAGCACTCTCTCTCCTAGAAAGCAAGAGCTTGTAGATAGCACTGGATTAAAGAGTAAGTAAGAAAAAGACATAAAACCAGTGACTACTTAGTTAAGATTAAGATTTAATTTGGAAATTGAATCTATATAGGATAGACCAGGTAAATAAGGTGGCTGGAAGTAGTCTGAGAAGCATCAGACAAATGTGACACCTCTGAAACAGTTGAAAAATTAGCCACTGAGGCAATTCAGGAGTGGTTTAGAAAATAGCTGTTTTTCCAGCAGAGTTGCTACTGGAGACAGCCAGAGTATGAATCTGAAGTCTGAAAGCAGTTTTGTGTAAACAGTTTTCAAAGGAAAAAATATATTGGTATGCTTTGCATGATACAGAGATTTTGGGAGTCCACTACTTGAACAGAAGGGGGTGAATCCCAAGTACGTATTCACTTAGTCATGTCAGCCTTAAAATCTGAAACTATTTTAAGAAGCAGCAAACTAGAGCACAAGTGGACAGAATATTGTCTTTATAATGTGAATGATCAAAATCATTTCAAGTTTAATGCTTAACTTCACTGTTAGTGATCTGTAAATATAGGTGTTGAAGTAGGGATTTGTCAAGGGTTGAGGCTGGGCTGGCCACTAACAAATGACAGATGCTCTCTATTAACCCCTCTCCCCTCCCAGAAGAGAAAGGGAGAGAGAACAAGGGAGAGAGATTTTATGGTTTGGAAAAGAAAACTAAAACAGCTTTAATGAAACAATGACAATAAAAGAAAAGATAATAAGAATAAGAAAATAATGAAATATATACAAATAGATTCAAAACCAATAATGAACCCAACTCCCCCCACCCTGATGATGATACATCACTGCTGACACTGCAGGGCTGGCACTGGGGCAGTCCCAGACTGGACTCGGCAGCAGACAGGTACAAGAAACTTGTACCAGACAGATCTTGACTCTATCCCAGGTAGTGAACCAGGATTCACAAGTCTGGCAAAATTAGCCAATAGATCCTTGTATCTGACAAGGAAGTTAAAGATAAGACAAGAAATTTATTTTATCCCAAAACTAAGGAGGCAATGTTGAGACCTCTAATTAAGACTGAGACTACTGATAGCAGTCAGGCAGGAGGAGCCCTGCAAGTTACCATCTGAACAGTACCGAATGGACTGAACTATCAAAAATCCAGGAAAAGTATACTAGACTAGCTCAAGAAACTGAGACTGAATATGTATGGAGGATGTCATTGACCAGTGGAGACTAGGTTTTATTGTCAGAAGATGAGGCCCAGGGGTATGGGGGGGGCAGGGGGCAGAGTATTTTTGACCACCAATGACTGAGAGAACTGTGGTCCTTAACCCAACGACTTGCATATTGGCCAAGGGGGTTGGATCCATGGAACAAGGGGACCTGATGTGTGTTCAGACCCCAACTATAAACCACTTAACTGGAAGTCTGCAAAAGACTACTTGTCTCCAGTTGATGCATGGCAGGTGTTTAGTACCTCAGCAACCTTCCCCAATGATATTGAATGCCAGCCCTGACAGAATGACTCTCCTGATTTGGGGCTTGCCCACCTCTTTAAAACTGCGTGCAGTCCAACTCCAGGACTGTTTGTGAGATGCATTAGCCCCAAGGGGGGGAAGGTGGAATCAGCAGGAGGAAGCTATGAACTAGGAAGAAGTGGCACAGGAGTTGATTAATCATGGCCAAAGGACAGGCCTTACAGGGGAAATGGGTAAACCTAAACCTGCTGTGCGTAGAGTAGAACAACAGGAGGACTGCACCACCGCACAAAGTCTAGGGACAAAGAGGGATCTGTTGTGGGCTGAAGGAATTCAGAAGGAGGTTCCCTGGGGCGTAATGGATGGCCTACCACTATAGCCCTGGAGAAGTTTATTTGAACGTGGGAAGACAAAAGGGAGGTGCCCCCCTGAATTGAACAAACCTCGCAAGACAGTAGGAGGATGGAGCAACCCTCTCGGGGAAAAGGCAAGGAGGAACCTAAATCTGATGAAATGGCGGTAACTGTCCCTCTAACACCTACTGCCACCGAAAAGGACTTGATTGATCTCAGGTCAGGAAACTAGACTTGCCATCCCCAATAAGTGAGCTGGGGGATGGCCAGTGGGTCCACCTAAAAAGGCTTATGGAAAATGGTAAGGGAGACTTGTTGATTACCTTTCCCCTTTGCCCTTTTAAAACGCCAGTTACGATTTTAGTGGATACTGGCACTCAAGTTTCAGGACTTTGAGCAAATGTTACTGATTGCAATGGCATAGTTGCCAATAAAAAACAGATTTGGGTTACTGATGTTTTTGGAAACTCTAAGCCACAGCCAATGTCTCGGGTTAAATGCTGGTTACCTGGAAATGAAACTGCAGTAGAGACTATCACAATTTTGGGAATTTTCCCCATGAATGTCTTGGGACTTGATCTACTAAAGGGACAAGCCTGGCTGGATTTGAAAGGAAGGGAATGGAAATTTGGGCTCCTGACTGCTTCTATGAGATTTTTACAGCAAGCGCCCACACTTCTTCCTTCCAAAATCATTAATGTGAAATCCTATGCCCTGCTGTTAAGGGCAAGGGAGGGTATCACTTCTGTGATAACTGAACTGCGAGAACAAGGCGTAATTATCCCAAAACCATTCACTATGTAACTCCCTGGTGTGGCCAGTCCATAAACCCAACTGAAAATAGCAACTGACAATTGACCTTTGGTGTCTAAATGCCAACCCAGGCCCCTTAACAGCTGCAGTACCTACTACAGCCAAACTGATTATAACCATACAAGAATAAGTCCACCAGATTTCAGCAACTATTGGTGTGAAAGTTCCCTTACAGGAAGCAGACAGAGATCGCTTTGCCTTTACATGGGAAGGCGTACAGTTTACTTTTGCACATCTCCCCCAGGGATATTGCCACTTGCCGACCATTGCTCACTATGCACTAGCACAAGAGCTTGCCCAAGTTACTTCCAGGGAGGGGGTCAAATTATAGTGGTATATTGATGATATATTGGTTGGCTGCCCTGATACCACCACAGTGGGACAGACCCAGATGGAGATAATCACCCACCTAGAAAATTTAGGGCTTCAAATTCCAGCCAAAAAAGTACAACTCGCATTTTCCAAGGTAAAGTTCCTGGGTATCTGGTGGATAGGAGGAGTGGTTTGCGTTCCATCTGAAACTTTAACTGCCCTTGAGCAGGTAAAAATGCCTGAAATTAAGAAGGAACTGCAACATACCCTAGGCTTGCTAGTATTTTGGAGGAAACCCATTCCCAATTTTTCAGTCGTAGCC